AAGCTTAGCCATCCTGGCCTCCAAGGAGCACTCTGGCTGCACTTCTTCCAAAACAGATCTATTGGTTCCTTCTTGAGGAGTCTCAAAAACAAAGTAAACAACATTCAAAGGAAAAAAAAAAAACCATTATAGTGAACATTATCTTCTAAGTATTTAAACATCAAAAATACACTTTATCTTTAAAAATTTAAACTGCTCCATATATTCAAATTATTCATTTATTATTATATATTCCTGTTATTATCATTTGGAGCTGGACAAAATACAAAGAGTAGATTTTTTAAACATAAAAAAACATACAATCTTTGATCCAACAAGTATACAATTTCTTGGAATGAAGCCTACAAAATTAGTATGAATTGTGCCTAAAGAATAGATTGTAAGAATGTTTAGTATATTCTCATTTGTAACAGCAAAATCATCAGAAACAAGTTAGAAATTCAACAATAGGGACTTCTTACATAAAACTATGTTGCATCTATATAAAAGGCATTTAAAAAATACCATATATATAAGATCAATATGCAAAAATCAGTTGGATTCCTCTATACTAATAAAGACGGTGCTGAAAAGGAAATTAGGAAAACAATACTATTTACAATCGCCACCCAAAAGATGAAATACATAGGAATGACTCTAACTAGAAAAAGAAAACTACAAAACATTACTACAAGAAACCAAAAGAGACTTACAAAAATAAAAGAATATACCATGCTAATGGATAGGAAGACTTAACATTGTGAAAATGTCAATACTGCCCAAAGAAATCTATAGCTATAACGCAATTCCAATCCAAATTCCAACATCATTCTTTAAAGAGATGGGAAAAATGAACATGAACATTATACGGAGAGGAAAGAGACTCGAATAAACAAAGCATTGCTTAAGAAGAAGAACAAAGTTGGAGGCCTTTCACTCCCTGATTTCAAAAATCACTACACAGGTACAGTGATCAAAACAGCCTGGTGTTGGTACAATGAAAGATACATAGATCAATGGAACAGAATTGAGAACACAGAGGTAAATCCATCCACATATAGTCAACAAATGTATCACAAAGGGTCAAGACATGTTAAATGGGTAAGAGACAGCCTCATCAACAAATGATGCTCGCAAAACTGGAAATCCATTTGCAGAAGAATAAAACAAGACCCATATCTTACCCACATACAAAAACTAACTCAACATTACAGACCTAAGAGTGAAATAAAACCTGGAACTATAAAGATCAACAATGAAAAACCAGGGACAAACTTATGGGCTCTTAATACATGATATACATACACTGCCAAACATTACAAAAAACACACAAGCAGAAGACAAAAGAGATGATTAGGACCTCCTAAAAATTAGAAAATTACGTGCATCAAAAGATTCTGCCAAAAGAGTAAAAAGGGAACATTTTTTTTGCAATGACACTTCAGACATTTATAGAAAACTGTAATACCTATACAAGAAAATGACCAACAATCCAATTTAAAAATGGATATGAACAGACACTTCACCAAGGAAGACATCTATAGGCAACCAACAAATAGATGAAGAAATTTCATGATCATTAGCAAGTAGAGATGCAAATAAAAAACAACAACAATGAGATTTCATCTCACACCAGCA